AAACAATATAAAAACAGACGTCACATAGGGCTAAATGCGTAGCATTTTTACGGCAGCGGGGAATATGAACGCGCATTAATTATTTTATTTAGTCTGTGTTATTTTAATGTTTCAGGGTTTTTTTTTAACCTAAAATAGAGACACAGATGTTGATGTGTCTGCATTCAATCATTTCAGTGTACTTAAATAGATCACCCTTTACAGCAGATTTAGTTCACAAACACCTGACAGTTTTGACCTAAATATGATTTTCAGTTAGAATAATTAATCCTAAAATTCGACATTAGTAACTTACTTTTAGGAGCATCAGACGCGCGCGTGCTCACAAGATCTCCCGGTTCTTACTTGTGATTTCAGTTCACTGGAGACTCGCACTAAACGGTTCATTTGAATCAGTGAGTTGTCGACTCGAGAACAGCTGCAATCGGTTCAGCGATCGGTTTTGGTGCGATTTGCGAACCGTTATAAAAGGTTCATTGAAAATAATCAGTTCGTTCATGAATCAGACACCGCTTCTGCGTCTCGGAGCACGTGATATATTATAAGGAGTAACTATATGTTTTATGAAATGTAGTGAAGTAAAAAGTACGATCTTATGCTTTGGAATGTAGTGACGTAAAAGTAAAAGTTACTCAAAATAAAACGACTCCAGTAAAGTACAGATACTTGAAAAATGTACTTAAGTACAGTAACGAAGTAAAGCTACTCCGTTACTGTCCACCACTGGTGATTAAATCACATCGATGACATTCTGCCTTTGTGATTCGCTCTACAGGGCACCGTTCAGCGGTCACCTGATGGCTGCTGCCATGTTTGTGAGTATTTTTTTTTTTTAAAGAAAACAATGTGAATTTTGGTTGATTGAATTTTGGTTGATTTGAGCCGATTATTAGGGGAAGTCGTGGCCTAATGGTTAGAGAGTCGACTCGTAACCCAAAGGTTGCGGGTTCGAGTCTCGTACCGGCAGGGATTGTAGGTGGGGGGAGTGAATGTACAGCGCTCTCTTCCACCTTCAATACCACGACTGAGGTGCCCTTGAGCAAGGCACCGAACCCCCAACTGCTCCCCGGGCGCCGCAGCAAAAAAATGGCTGCCCACTGCTCCAGGTGTGTGTTCACGGTGTGTGTGTGTTCACTGCTGTGTGTGTGCACTTTGGATGGGATAAATGCAGAGCACTAATTCTGAGTATGGGTCACCATACTTGGCCACATGTCACTTCACTTCACTTCACTTCACTTATTAATGTGTTTGAAGGTGTGGACAAAATTAAGGGATGTCAAGTACAGACCAGTCGCGATTACATAAATCACAATGACTGTCAGTCAGAGAAGAGAATGGACCTGACATTTTGTAGTGGAGACTGTACCCGTTTTAGCAGGTGAGTACGTGCAGACTCTGTTACGAAAACCTACATAAGCCGAAACCTAAATGAAACAGACCCTCTTAAGTGACTGATTTGAAATGTTTAACATGTGTTTTTCTCTCTTTCTCACATACGTAGGTACACTGAACCTGGATTGTCCTCTTGTAGCTGTTGCCAGGCCACTCGCTCAAGTAATCGCACAGTGAATCTTGGTTGCGTAAACGGACACATAGTAACTCACACATACATCCATGTGGAGGAGTGTTCCTGCAGCAAAGCTAACTGTCATAGAGCAGGAGCGGGCCACACACTCGCTGAAGACAGCCAAAGAAAACGTAGCTTCGGACGTCCGTGAGCAGCAGCAGTGAATCATCCACTCGAAGACTCTGAAATACGAATTCTTTGAGAAACTTTGTTTGGAAATTAATTTAAATTGCACATGCTTTAACATTTCTTAAACTTTATCTATAGAGCTTTTCTTTTTTCTTCGTTGGATAAATATGTACTGTTTTGCTTGCTTGAAATTAAAAGCAATTAAAAAGGCATTTTAAAACTAAATGCATGTTTATTGAGTCTTTCAGCGAGAAACTTTTTATAGTTTGTTTGTATGTGGTGTTTATGTATTTATTTATATCTAGCATTTGGTCATGTTCCTGGCACCATGATCTACTGTTTGGGTTAGAGAAATACTTTAAAAAAATGACCAAATATGAAATTGTATGATGCAATTGAGTTGCTTTGAAATGTTAAGATCATCAAAGCACATACATTTTTAAGTGCACAAATCACCTTGCTGAAATGATCTACTGCTCCTGTTTTTGGATTTTATAGTAGTGTTTGTTTATGGACAGTTTCGGGACAGTGAATGACATGCATTTAATGAAATGCATTTAATGTAGTAATTATCGTGGCCATGTGATAGTAAGATAGTTATTTGAAAGTACCAGACATCTCTTAAAGGGATAGTTCACACAAAAATGAAAATTCTGTCATTAATTACTCACCCTCATGTCGTTCTAAATCCGTAAGACCCCCGTTCATCTTCGGAACACAAATAAAGATATTTTCGATGAATTCTGAGACCTCTCTGACCCTCCCATAGACAGCAATGTAATTACCACGATCAAGGTCCAGGAGCGTGTAATTTGACGAAGCTACGAGAATACTTTTTGTACACAAAGAAAACAAAAATAACGACTTTATTCAACAATTCGTCTCCTCCGCGTCACCCTGGTGACATTTTGGAGAATATCCACTGAACGTAAACAGCGTATGCTATTCTGTGTCAGCTGCGTCACACGGATACGTTTTCTACATTGTTTACGCTTTGATTTGAATGAAAATTTACGTGGATTTACGTGTCAGTGAATCAATGAATAGATTATCAATATAGTATCATTGTGCAACATAAAATTGTTTAGATGACTCCGTTTGGAAAATTGGGACAACATTTGGACAAGTTTTTAACAAATACTCGAGTATATTTTGCTAACCATATTTTACTAACCATTTTAGGTTCACACAAAATAATAAACTGACTCCTAAAAACTTTGCTACTTTTTTAACCTTTGTTAGAATAACTTTTTGCAAGTTAGATTTTTCAGTGTGTACTGTAAGTGTGTACACAGAAGCATGCTGTGTTTAACAGAATTGGGTCTTTTCAGGGTTCAAACATTCTGTGTTTTTTGCACAGAGATGCACAATGGTCACAGATGCACAAAGTAATGCTTTAAAGGGGTCATATGATGCGATTTCAATTTTTCCTTTCTCTTTGGAGTGTTACAAGCTCTTGGTGCATAAAGAAGATCTGTAAAGTTGCAAAGACTAAAGTCTCAAATCCAAAGAGATATTCTTTATAAAAGTTCAGAGTCAGCCACACCCACCTAAAACGGCTCGTTCTAACACGCTCCCCCACATATCTACCTCACTATGTGGGAAGATTTGCATAACGCCGCCCAAATGTTCACGCAAAGAAAGAAGGCGTAACTTTTAGTCTCACTGTAGTTTTGTTGACGCTGCAGCCATGTCGTGAAGACACTGTGTGCTTCGTTGTGAAAGCGAAACTACTTTGTTTGGTCTTCCAAAAGAGGACGATATCCGCTTCGTCATGCCTAGAGCTGATCTCTGATGGTCGCTGAGGGAATACATCAACTTTCACCGTGGACGAAGCGGAACGGCTTTCACCGTGGACAAAGCGGAGTCCAGCCCGGGGTCGTCACATGTGGTTGCCGCAAGCCCACTGGCCGCCGCTCACTCAAGCCGCCGGCTCTTTTGGAAGGACACGACTAGAAATCAATGGTTAAGTTGCATTTACAACACTGTTCCAGAACAGTT